TTGTGCCCCCCCCCCCACTCCCCCCATTCAATGCGTGCCGTTTACTGCAATTTGTATTTGTATCGTTTATTTCTTAAAAAGGAACTGCACTGTAAAAACAAACAAAATGTGGAGTGCATGAAGATGTAACCGCTTTTGCAACCGACAAAAACCGGTAAAACAACTATAGGATGAGTACAGGGACATCTCTAGGGTATTTGGCGCCCATGGCGGGCGGGTCTTACTTTGTTTCGTAATTTGCATTCGCCACTGTTCAATTTTTTTTATTTTATTTCATGTAAGGGGTGCAGATCACGGATAAGCGTTTATATCTGTAGCGGTATTAGATGGACTTGTCGGAACAAAATGCCATGGACCGTGTTGTGTGGAGAGGTCGCATCAGAACGGAACGAGAATGAAGAAAGAATCAGGAATGGAATGAGAATGAAGAAAGAATCAGGAAGGGAATGAGAATGAAGAAAGTATCATAAAGGGAACGAGGATGAAGAAAGAAGCAGGGAGGGAATGAGAATTGAAAAAAAAAAACATATATTGCAACAAGGATGAGAGAAATGCTTTTGAGGAAAAAAAAAAGACTAAACACACAAATGTTGACAACAATAGTCCCGAAATCTCATGCTTTGATTGTGAAAGACTTTTCTTAACACGGGCGGGTCTTGCTAGTCACACTCGCCATCGCCATAGGCTGCGAGTCCCGTGCCACTATAACACTATCGTCTGGAGAGACGGAAAGGAGCCCATCAATCACATCAAAGTTTATATCTAAGTAGGGTGGTGTAACTCTACATTCTTCAACAAAATGAATCTCACTGTGGTTGTTGTTACGAAAGTCATTTTTGGTCTGTAAGGAGTTAACAGAGCCAGAGGTTTGGTGAGACATGGGCGTATACTTGCATTTATAGTGTGTTGTCGGATTGCGCGGTTAAACACCTGAGCCACTTAGAAAGAGAAGTTGCTTGAATGAGTAGGTAAAGTAAAAAAGTAAAGGACCCTTTTCAACGCCTTTAGGCGTATAGGGCATATAATGCTAGACCTATATTTGTATAGACTAATCGACACATGATGGGGGGGGGGTGTGGTCAACATCACGCCAGCCGCCTTTACTTCCTAGGAATGCACTTGGCACCCACTCAAAGCTGGGTCTACGTGGCAGCCAAGGTCATTTCGGAAAGAAAAGTCCGGCTCCGCCAGGTAGTGAACCCACGACCTTCCGATCCGCAGGCGAATGTCTCGTCGCTACGCCACGGCGACTCCCGTGAGAATGAGTTCTTCTCTTTCACCTTCTACCTCAGCGAAGTGTAAAAGGGGGGAGGCTGTTGGGGCGATGTAACATTCGCTGATAAGCTCTGTAAAGAGCACTATTAAGAATGATGTTCATTTCTGTAAGGCTGTTCTTTATGGAATCACTACATGTTCTCAGAGGTCCTCCACTCGCTCTATACCCGTTGTAACCTTTTAGTGTGGTTCGTTGTAGCAGTTAGTACCAGAGCATTTTTTGTTAAGCGCCCAAACCACTTCATTTGTTGATTTTTGATGACTTGTAAGAGTAATTGGAAATTACCCCCCCCCCCCCCCCCCCCCCCCCAATGTATTGCTTGTTTCTGATCCAATATGCTAGTTAGTTATTTACATTTAGGTTATGAAGATATAAGACGGTATATTTCTCTCGTAGTCTCTTGTCTTCTTTCGACAAACATAAACACGCCACGCACCATTGTTTTTAACAACTCTGTTAATCGTAATGTTATCATTCTCTCCCTCTGTGGGTCTCTCTCTCTCTCTCTCTCTCTCTCTCTCTCTCTCTCTCTCTCTCTCCACAAGAGACAGATCTCCCTCCCTCTCCAAATGCATCAGATCTCCCTCTCTCTCCATATGCCTCTCTCTCATATCTCTACGATAAAACTTTAAAAAACCTTTGGCTTTACAAAACAAATACTCCCCCACCAACTACCCTATCATCCCTTCAACCTTACTTTCAATTAACATAACAGAACCCAAACCATGAAAATTCATCACAAGAACCGTAACCCTGATAAGACATGGCAACTGAATCATAAATCAAATTTCATGAGAACAGAAAAAGAAGGGGGGAAAACGCTCAAATTTCTTTCCAAAGTCCGCGCAGTCATTTGCAGTATAGTTCTTAAGAACAAGCGCATATTTCTTGAGCAAGCGCACTTAACTGCATAACAAACAGTCGGATGCAAGCTCCTGGGGTAGTTTGTGTGCATGCGCCATCAAACTTCAGCTGCAGAAACTGTTTAAACAAACTGCCCGCCATTTTGCCCCCCTTCCCAGTTCCGTTTGCAAACATAAGCCTGTGGGCGAAAGAAATTAAATGACTTCTTTTTCCCCGAACTACGATTTCGAAAAGGGGTATATCCATGGAACCGAATGGCCGTTCTGTCTGTACTAATGAAATGGCGCATAAGTTATGGTAAGTAAACGGTTTCTTCTTCCTCTTCTTTGTCTCAACTACAACTTCTCCTCACTCATTTATTTGCTGCTTTTTTTTTTACATCTACTGCCAGTCTCTCTTATATCCTCTTCTTCTTCTGCGCCTCTTTCCTCTTCTAATTCTACTCCTTCTTCGTCTTATACCCCTTCCTCTTCTTCTACTTCTCCTGCTTCTCTTACTTCCTCTTCTTCTACCTCCTCATACTCTTCTTCTTCTACCTTCTCATAGTCTTCTTTTTCTACTACTTTCCTCCCTCTTCTTATATTACTATTCCCTCCTCTTCTACTACTGCTTCTTCTCCTTCTCTCTTCTACTGCTTCACCTCCTTCCTTTTCTTCTACTTCCTCTTTTAAATTCTCCTACCTCTTCTACTACTTCTTCTCTGTCCTCTTTTATTACTTCTATTTCTTCCCCTTCTACCTTATCTTTCTCTTCTTCGGCTACTTATACAACCTAATCTGCTCATCCCACTTCTCTTCTTCGGCTACTTATACAACCTAATCTGCTCATCCCACTTCTTTTCTTCGGCTACTTATACAACCTAATCTGCTCATCCCACTTCTCTTCTTCGGCTACTTATACAAAATAATCTGCTCATCCCACTTCTCTTCTTCGGCTACTTATACAACCTAATCTGCTCATCCCACTTCTCTTCTTCGGCTACTTATACAACCTAATCTGCTCATCCCACTTCTCTTCTTCGGCTACTTATACAACCTAATCTGCTCATCCCACTTCTCTTCTTCGGCTACTTATACAACCTAATCTGCTCATCCCACTTCTCTTCTGCTACTTCTTCTTACCGTTATACCCCAAATGCCTGTTGACTGTTGAGCTATCGGCTGACATATCTTACTTCGCCTGGGGATTATCCTCCCATGGTAAGTCCGTGAAAAGAAGCAGTGTTCTTCACCTTTTTGTTTAATAATGTCTAGGCAACCACTTTGAGAGGATGTATTTTCCCTGTAACAACATGTGGATGTGAGTCGTGGAAGGAGCAGTGTTCTTCAACCTTTTTTTTAATGTTCAGGCAACCACTATGAAGGCATGCATCTTCCCTGTAGCAACATATGGATGTGAGTGGTGGACTATCTCCCAGTATTTAAGAAAGAATATAGGAGCTTTTGAGCTGAAATGCTTAAAAAAAAATTTCTAAAAATACCATGCACAAAGAACAGAAGAAATACTGACATTTCAAAAGATCTAAACGTCAGGAAAGATTGGCTAATAAACAGCAGCTTGTCACGGAAGATGAAATATTTTTGTCATATCAAGCACTATGGCGAATTGAACAAAAATAATAGCATCTTCTATTTTACCAGGAAGGGGGGGGGGGGGGGGGGGGGCAGGGGCCGACTAACATGAAGATGGGCACAGGAGATAAGTGATTCCTTGAATATGAAAGTGCACCAGCTGGGACAGCTGATGAGAGACTTGAGTTTCTTTCAGGCAGTACGTGATGAGAGCGACGTTCTGCAAAGGACCAACTACATAATAATGATGATGATGGACTAGTACCAACAGTTATAAGACAGAGAAGGTGGCGCTATACTGGGCACATCCTGAGAACAAGCAACAAGACAATCACTAAACAGTTATTGACATTGGCAACGACTGAGAAAATGTGGGCAACAAAGCCAGACCACACACGGCATGGTTAACTCAGGAAAACATTAACCACCTAGGGCAGGAACTTCTGGAACATCCACCTTTCAACCCCGACTTAGCCCCTAGCGATTTCCACATTTTTTGTCCACTGAAAACCCACCTTAGCGGTCGAAATTTTGCAAATGATGCAGAAGTTGAATGTGAAGTAAAAATGTGGTTAAGAAAACAGAGCACAAAGTTCTACACAGCAGGTTTGGGAGAAGAAAAACTATGGGACAAGTGCATCAATGTTGGTGGAAAACCCACCTTAGCGGTAGACATTTTGCAAATGATGCAGCAGTTGAATGTGAAGTGAAAATGTGGTTTAGAAAACAGAGCACACAGTTCTACGCAGCAGGTTTGGGAGAAGTGAAAAACGATGGGACAAATGCATCAATGTTGGTGGAAATAATGTTAAAAATAAAGGGCACTGTATTTGTAAACAATAAACAGTTTTCAAGGTGTTATCATTTTTATTTTAACAACCATCTGTGACATACTTATTGAATTCTTTTATTCATTCTATAAGAAATATCTATAATTGTGTGTTTGTATATGCTTGCATGTATCTATCTATATGTATGTGTGTATAAGTGTGTGTTTTTATAGTTATATAAACACACACATGGGTGTGTGTGTGTGTTCATGTATATAAGTGTATTTATTTACAAATGTATTCTGTATGTACCAATTATTGTGCTATCTATGAGTATGTTTATGCAAATGTGTGTAAGTAATCATGTGTATGTGTGTTTGCATGCATGTATAAGTATACATAGAAACACAGCCATGAGTTAGACAGGAATGTTTAACAAGTTCATAAACACATTAAATAAGCTATACAACACACGCACAAACACACACACATAACCCCTTAACACAGAGGGAAACTTACCGTACGCATGCATGTCCTAATGGTCTCATAGTGATCAGGACCAACCTTGCCCTGTCCATTGTAGCAGTCCTGGACAGTCTGGGCAAACATCAGATCAATGTCCTCCAGGCGGTAAACACACACAGACGATGACGCACGTACGCTACTACCATCTGGTGAGTAGGACACAACCAGCCTACCATCCTCCATTTGAGATGCTGCCTGAGCTACAATCGTGCTAGAAGATGAAGTGTCTTGACATTCCAAAGGGATTTCAATGTACGACCTGAAGTAGCGATCACCTTGACACAATCGAATTATTCTCGTTACTTTTTCCTTCGACTTTAACCCTTTTGGCTGAACCGTGATGAAGTAGACATATCCACTGTATGAAAATCCTGCCACAAATCTGACTTTGAATTCCGAGCGAATATCTTGTTTAATGCTCATCTTTGTTCCACCTTCTTTGTCTCTGTATGCTAACTCCAAGGTTTTCAGGTCCCGACTGCTGATACTAGGGACTAGATCTCTGTAAGCTTCGTCGCCAACTGGACTGTACTCTGCTCCGATGTACAGGCTCGTCTCGTTCTGAGGTCCCGGGGCAAGGAACATCACGCAAGAAGACCCATCGTTAGGGACGGATGGTTTCTGAGCGAAGCTGGTTACTGAAGTGATATTGCTAAGCTTCAATATCTGACATGATCCGTGGAAAAGACTGGTACACAGGATCACAGAATCGTGATCCGAGTCAATGACCAAGCCCTTCGTCAGACTATCTGTGGCCATTTTGGGCTTTTCACACGGTAATATAGGTGGCGGACATTCTGGGTTATCCTCCCTTGGTCCTGTAGCTGCACTCTGAATAAGATTTAAATCGGATGTCAGTTTGTGAAGGCGATTAGTAGCGCCAATGTATAGGGCTCCTGTTGAATCATGCAGTGCCATTAGCTGAAAACTATTATCTTCTGGGTCTCTAAAAGTGTGTAAAATTGTCAAAGGCAGAACAAGGTCCAGAAGACACACAGCAACAATTGCCCCCTGCAGAAGTCTAGGCCCCATACTGTTGCTCCTTCAGATGGCTTCAGCTTTCAATCATTTATGACCACCTGAGAATATCAAATCAGATTCAGAAATGAAACAACGTGAGCATTGAAGACCCGCTTTGGTTCTTTATTAATATCATAGGACAGTTCAGCATTTTAGAGGGTGGTAAGACTGGGTTTCCCGGCTTTCTGATGCTTTAAACGACCCCAAAACATCTAGAACTGACCCTAACCCCAACCCACCTACGTCCAACGAGAGAGTGCAGCCTAGGTCCTACAAATAAATGCAGCCTAGGTCTCACGACTGTGTGCATCCTCTCTACCACCCCCTGAAATATTAGACTGTCCCGTGACCAGCGCTTTACACACACACAAAATTGTTCTGTGTCAACCATGGAGGTACATTGCAGTTGGTATGTACTGTATTTTAAGACGATATAATACTGACATCTTAAAAGATCTGAACATTAAGGAAGATTGGCTGATAAACAGCATCTTGTCTCAGAAGCTGAAATATTTTGGCCATATAAAGCTCTATGGCAGACTGGGGGGGGGGGGGGGGGGGGGGATAGCAGAAGGTCAGGAAAGAGGGGCAGGGGCCAACCAGCAAAAAGATGGATACATGATATAAGTGACTATTTGGGTTTGAAAGTGAAGGAAACAGGAAAATTGGCAACACAAACAAACACTAGATACACAGATGGAAGCAGCAGTTACAAAAGATCAGTAAGTTGCACACACAATAAGAAGTAAACAAAAGGTAGTTAGTATATTAGTAACAAATTATGTGCAAACAACTGAGATGCAGTTTAAATAAAAGAATTATGGGTTCTTTATTAATATCCTACCCCCATATGACATCACAGGACAGTCCAACATTTTAGAGGGTGGTGAGACTGAGTTCCCCGGCTTTCTGATGCTTTTAACAAACCCCAAAATATCTAGAACTGACCCCAACCCACCTATGTTCCACGAGAGAGTGCAGCCTAGGTCCCACAACTGCATGCAGCCTAGATCCTACGACTGCATGCAGCCTATCTACCACCCCCTGAAATATTAGATTGTCCCGCGACCTGTGGGTTCCCTCTGTTTGGGGTAGGATATTATTAATAAAGCACCCAATTATGAAAAGACACTTTTTTTTAATGTATTGAAGGTGTCCTGAAAGAAATTAATGAAAATGGGCATTGTTTATTAAGCAGTTAATCTGCAATGATTTAAACTCTCTTCTTCTTCTTCACTTCCTCTTTTACCGCTGCAGGTGACATGTTGTTTGCATTCACCATCTGTAAGACCCCATAAGAAAATCCTGGTTGTTTGTCAACTTCTAAGACACTGGCTGTGTTCAAGGACCTGAGTTTTGAGTGTGCACCTGTTTTACAGGTCTGGCCTAATTGCAGGCAGACTGTTGGTTCCTTGCCTCTCGGGTAGATGCACCCTGACTTCAAAGGAATCCACTAATCAGTCGACTCCTGCTACAGCCTTCTCAGACATCTCATTTCCACGGTTACTAATTTCCTTGAGTGACCATGTCTGGCACTCGAAGCATAGGATGGGAATGAATAAGCTTTATATGAGATGTTTGTTGCTGACTGAGTTTGTCTTTTGCTATAAGGAGTGTGGAGGTGGGGGAGAGGGGCTAACTATCCGGATGCTTGGCTGGTTTTACTTCGTTAGATGTAAATTTTTTCATCTACTTTACCATCATCAGTGTATGCTCCCAGATATTGAAACTCATCTTCATCATCATGTGCCCTGCCAACTGGCGTAGGCACTCATGCGTCTCCACAGATCACGATCCCTGGTTGCCTGGAACAGCTCTCTTGATATCCTTCCATGCCATCGTTTTGGCCCATCCAGCATTATCTCTCTTGGTCTGCCTCTACCCCTTTTTCCACTGATCTTTCCAGTTGTCACGATGTTCTCCAATGTCTCTTTTCTCATTATGTGGCCAAAAAAACAGTGTTTGTCTCTCTCTTATTGATGTATATAGAGATCTACTTTCATTAGCCTCTTCTTTCAAGCAATCGTTGTTATTTACTCTGGCCGTCCAAGGTACGTGTAACATTCCTTTCAGAAACTACATCTGTGTTAAACCACATCTTATTTAAACTCAGATGCCTGTGTTTAATGCCCCTGCACTCTGTTTGCTACCTTTAAATTCTGTTTCTTTGTCCCTATAGACTTTACTTCTGTCTTTTCAGTGCTGATCCTCATACCATTTGTTTTACATTCGTGTGTGTGAGCTGTTGCAATTTCATGGTTGTATTTGCCGTTAAGGCCTAAACATCAGCAAAGAGTAATCTGCTGAATTTGCTACACGTTTTAATTAATATTTTCGTTCCTGAACTTGGCATCTTTGTATACACTGTGACTGTTGGCACAGGAACGGAGCATATGTGGGGTGACCCGTTTGCTATGAAGCTGAAACTAGGATTACCAGATTACCAGACTGTGACTGTCGATGTGAGTGATATAAAAATTATACTGATGGGAAAGGGTTAAAGCGTGTAAGCAATAGATAAACAGCAACACAAGAGGAAGGTTACCAGCAAGAAATGATCATGGATAAATCTGACCAAGGTCTTCTCTATTTATATACAGAAGGACCTGATCTGACTGTAGAACCAAGGCAAAAGACAGTGTGGCCAGTCTCAAATGTTTTATAAATTGCGGAGACGGCACCTGGTGGTTTCACTGATCATTGTAATCAAATACTCTAGGGTTACTAACACTTAGTCTAATGATTCTATTTAACTAACAAACACATTCATCAGATATCTACAAAACAAATTAGAACTTGATTTTGTTCTAAAACCGAAAACTCTGTATGTACAGAATCAGCGAAAGAAAAGTCCCGGTTGGCACAAATGTTGGAATCTCTGGACCGTACAGCAGAAAAGTGCACTTCACTCACTTGATAAGTATATCTCACAGCTTACAACTATACATATTATTTTTAAAATCCCGACAGTAACTATACTACTGAGCAGCTGTATATTCTTTCTAGCAAAGCAACGAACGAACCTCGGCAAAATCTCCACTAAAGCAGGGACCGGCAATAAAATAAAATCCGAATGGAGGAAAACTACACAGTAGCTCACTGTGTTCGTGTTAACAATACGGGGGGAAAGCTCAGAGCTACCTGGTTATGGGTGACACACAAAGCGGGAAGACTGTGTGAATGAGGGATCGGGGGCAGAGCTGGTGGTGATACGCTCGCACTGTAAGGTATCGCGACTCCCTCACTAGAAGGTATTTGGGGTTCCCTTCTTTATTCAGTGCGTGGTCACGTGTTAATCGGGTAGCGTCGGACAAAGAGAGGCCAGTTTTAAGGATTGTTGAAGAGAATCCATACTTGATGTGGCTTTCTGGCTTCAAGAAATAAGATAGTAGAATTACCCAGGTACTCAGACACCTAACACTCAGATGTAGAGAAATACCTATGTCTTCTAACGCAGATCATTATCTTCTTCTTTTTCTGCTTTTCTAACCCCCTAATGGAGCATAGGCCATCACCAAATCATGCCAAGTCGTAATGGTTGATTGGTTTTTGTGGCTGTTTTTACAGGATGAGGTAGTCAACCTCAAGCCCAACCCTAACCTTAGTCGGCTCATACGACATGCCTGGTAGGGTGCAATGTTACTATTATTTGCTACGATAGATTTTTTTAAAGTCCGGCTCGGCAAAGACTTGAGCCCACGAGCTTTAATCCCCAGGTGAGTAGCTAGCCGCTACACCACGGTGGCTTCCAGTCCATGGGTATGCGGGTAAGGAAATCAATGTGACAGTATTACAGAAAGATTCTCAGTATACCATGTTAAGTAAAGATCCCTTTTCACGCCTTTAGGCGCATCGGGCATATGGGAAGAGCACCCATATTTTACAGACCATCGACATTACTATTTGGGTAGCATTACGCCGGCCGCCTTTACTTCCCCAAGACATACATTCTGGTACACATTTTAGACTGGGCCGACCTGCGACGCCCCATACCATGATGTAAATCCACGCAGCCAGTAGTGTGCTTCAATCGCGGTACGTTGGAATTACGAGTCGGACTCGCGACGCCTAAGCCACGGACGCCGCTCAGAATACTGTCAGCCAAGAAAAAAAAACAGAAATACTTACATCCTAAAAGATCCTATAGTAAACAGCATTTTCTCTAGGACAACTAAAATATTTTGGTCATATCAAGAGCCACGGCAGACTGGAACGAATTGTAGCTAAAGGCGTGGTGCCAGGAAAGAGGGGTAGGGAGAGACCATCACGAAGATGGGCCCAGGATAAAAGTGATACCTGGGTAGGAAAATTATAAAGCTCAAGTCGAGAAGATCGACTTCATTGTACCGGGTTCTATCCCATACGGCTCGGTCTCTCTCCACAGAACAGCCAGCTGAGAGCGCCGCACAGAGCATGAACTCCATAGCTCCGGCGACGATTCACATGGATCTCTGTGAAACTGGACTCATGAACTAAAGGGCGCAGACGTGAAACGAAACCCACGACTTTCAGAGCGCAAGGCAAACGTCTTAACCATTTCGCCACGGATATTCCCTGGGTAGGAAAGCGCACAAGGCAGGAGCTTCAGATAGGTTGCGATAAAAACGATGTTCTGCAAAGGATTTGCTACAATGATGACCTAGACATTATCACAAAGCAACATTTGTGTCTGGTCTGGACGAGGTTGTAGTCAAGTGGCGTGGTTTTGTCATCTCACTGATGCCAGGTTGTAGCCCAGTGACGTGGTTTTGTCATCTCACTGATACCAGGTTGTAGTCCAGTGACGTGGTTTTGTCATCTCACTGATACCAGATTGTAGTCCAGTGACGTGGTTTTGTCATCTCACTGATACCAGGTTGTATGTAGTCCAGTGACGTGGTTTTGTCATCTCACTGATACCAGATTGTAGTCCAGTGACGTGGTTTTGTCATCTCACTGATGCCAGGTTGATACCAGGTTGTAGCCCAGTGACGTGGTTTTGTCATCTCACTGATATCAGCTGTAGTCCAGTG